ACAATATCTGCTAAAAAAACACTGCAGCAAAATCAACAACTCACATGATTTGTCCTCCAATAGTTGACTTGCCAGCATCTGGAGGAAAATGAGATTAGAGAGAGACAGGGTGAGGCCAGGACAGATAAAGACGGTAAAATTCTGTTCTCTAAAGACATTTTAAAAGTGTTCCCCATGATGCTCCTGAGATATGTTATGAACTGAGATGCCTTGATGGTAATGCCAACCGCGGACATTTTTTTTGAGTACCATCAGCGTGGTGGGCGTGGGCGGGGTTGGGGGGGGATGGTTTTGTGGAGGGGGAGTGTAGTGGTGGTAAACGGTTTACTGTTTTTTACTGTTTAGCGTAACTGTTTAGTTCATTTTTGCTATTTAGTTTTTTTTAATGCTATTTAAAAAAGAAAAAAAAATCTCCAGTACACTTCTGTATAGGGCTGGGCGATATGAGCAAAAATTCATATCTCTGTATTTTTGGGCTGATTTGCGGTATACGGTAGCCTATATATCTCGGTATTTTGTATTTGGATTAAACAAATAAAGTGAATGTAAGCATGTAGGCATATATTATGTGCAAAAAAGGGTTAAAATCACATTACATTGTAACATTGTAACATTGCAATCTAAAAACATAAATAATCCTTTTAAAGCAGAAGTTAAAGTTACTAAACTAAAAATGAAAATAATAAAAAGCACAGACTAATTGAGTATAAAGGCTATTTTGATTACCCCATTACACTTTACAGTTAGTGCTATCATACAAATACACTTACTTGTAGGTTTAAAATTCTACATGCGTCACATTTATTGTCCAACTACAAATATTTCAGCAAAATGTATATTTTAGTCAGAGTTATTGCGCTCCTATTTCACTGAGCTCTGTCTGTTTGGCGCGCTCGTTCTAAATGAAGTCTGTGGAGTTTACCGGAGAATTGCAAAGCAAAAGCTCATGCACTTCTGACAGCAAAATGGAAACATTTCCATGGCTTTTTTAACATTTACAGATGGAGAATATACCTGTGAAATGTAAGTTATGCATTAAGGAAAACAGCACATCTCAAACGCATTAAACAGCACGTCTCTGTCAGCCTCACACGCAGCCTTTCTGTCAGAGCATCTGACGGGGCGAGCGTGAGCCGCTTTGAACTGAAACTATAAACTATAGGCTACTAGAAGAAAAATAATACGCAGAAATTATTTAAATGCAAAACCAAAAAAAAAAAACGCTCTGATTGGTTGAACTCTTCATCTTTTTCTGTTGCTTGTTTTGAATACTGCGCATGGACAGAGGCGCCACTAGATTTTTGCATAGTTTAGAGTGACAAATCGTACCAGCGTACTTTGAGGTCAAAATGCATAGCCGCTACGCAAAATGCGTACAGGTTGGCAGGTCTGTAACTGATTAATATTAAAGTGGTTATATAACAATCCAAGCAAATTAGAGCCAAGTACAAAAAATGAGATGAATGAAACTGTGACGTTACTGGAACTGCTTATTTTGAGAAACTGAAATGAAAGCTAAAGATAAAACTTTAAAGAAATGGCATGAAGATCTTGCCAAGATATATATTATAATTCAGCATAATGCCAACAACCTCAGCTATATATTAAAGAATCCAAAACAAGTGAATAATATAAAGTCAATAAACTAAAATATATTTATTTATTTATTTAAAGTATCTAAATCTGGCCTAAACATTAAAAATATTTTCATGAGAATCAACCCAAAAGTAAACAGTCCTTGAGGAGTTTAAACAAGACACTGGCATCAAATATATCATGTAAATGCAGAATGCAAACACTAACCGACATGGCCAATGAAGACCACGTTAACATGTTCCTTCTTGGGGGCATTTGGCTGTGTGGGGACTACTTTAGGTGTTGGCACTACTTCGTCCTCTTCCATTCCTTCCTCTTGAGGGGAGTCTTCATCAGCCTGACCTCGGTCTCCTCCAGGGCTGCCTCCTGGCTCTGCCTCAGCTTTGCTAGGCTCACTCCCTTTCTGCTCCCAGGTGTCATCTGTTGCCATCTCTGCATCACCGTTCTCCATGGGCGGAGCTGATGTCAAAGGCAACGTGATCATTTTACACTGTTTATCCAATCACTGTTGATCTTGTGTCAATAACAGTCGTTTCCTTTCTGACTAATACTGCTGTGTTTGGTGTCAACATAATTGTGCCTAAAGGCTATTTTGAACCACAACAAAAGGCACAATCAAGATGACATGAAAACACGACCAAAAAAAATATAAAAGCAACAAACCACTAGAACATTTAACATTTTAACTACAAAGTTTAACAAACAAAATGGCTCTTCTTTTATAATAATGAATCCTTGTGTCTATTAGTAAGGTGAAGGTCTGTTCTCACCAACATGACTGTTCAGCATGCGTAAATATAATGCGTAAAAACTGGCAAACAGGCTGAATGAAAATGCAAATTGGTGGCGCTGGAGTAGAAACTAAGAAACACCCCAGTTCACAAATCACTATGCAACTTTCAATTTCTGATACCAGCTTCTCACGGAGAAGAATGTTAAACAATATTTATGTTTCAAACAGCCGTTCAGATTTTTCCCTTCACTATGGCGTTTATCGAACTTCACCTAAATACACCATAATTTGGCTAAATACTCGCTCATGAGTGCCATCAAGTCATGGTTTTATGTAACAGCGGCAGCTGAGCTTATGACCAAGAGCACGGTTTGTATTGGTTGAACAGGTTTTTTGAACACTTTCTTCTGTTCAAGTTCTGCTTAAACAGAAGCATTAACATGTTAATTCAAATTAAAATGTTTATCACATTGAATTATTCACACAAAACATCCATCTCGGTGTGAACAGGACTTGTGTTAGATCGTTGGAAACTGGAATATGAGCAAGCACAAGTTACTAGCCACAGACTCATCTGTGTGTTTATTATTATTACAGGGATGTGAAGCAAACTGTGGTTGTGTGTCTCAGCATTTACTTACCCTCAGGCTCTGACACTTCCACATTGGCATCTGCATCGGGACCTGCAGGAATATAAAATGCCTCTTTTTACAGCTGTAATTACACAGGACAGTCAAGTAACTAAGAATAATAGTCTTAAAAGGGAAATTGCATGACAACATTCAACACATTTACAGACAACAATCTGCACTGTGTAATTGTAGTATGTGAATGGCATATCTTCCACTTGTGGCAAGACAAAAACAGTTAAAAGGTCCTCCAACAAACTCCCATGTTTTTGACCAAATGGCCATTTTATTTTGTAACATGATCACTTATTGAAATAAATACATAGGCTGAGTACCATACATTGCTGTGTTAAAAACGAACTCTCTTTAGAGTTTTTTTTTTTTAACTCAAATAAGCTTGGAAAAGTTTAATAAGCAGATCAGATCACATCACTGCGTTTACCTCCATTACACGCTACATTGATCTTTCTCAGAAGACCTCCAGTGTGTACCTTATAAACACAATGTATTCAAATACAACAGCTGACACAAAAGCTTCAGGCAAGAGTTTAGAAACTTTGCTGTAGTGAAAACATTTAGCTGCCTTGACAATAGCCAAACTGTGGTGGTAAGTACTTCTGCATTTGAACAGATGATGGTGAACATGTCCAGTTTTCTAGCGCCGTGATTTAAGCGGATCAGGCCAACAACTGTCTTTCATTGTGACACTATAACAGCTCAACACATAATGGTACATCACGTTTGCAGTAAGACAGCATGGGGGCCAAACCCCACCCTTAAACAATCAGCCAAAAGAGGCCCCTCAAACAAAGCAGTCAAGCAAGGGGAAAAATGGTTGTTTATGAAGCGCCAGGCCTCTGATCATCAGTATTGATGATATTGTCATGCAAACAAACGCGAGCACCCTTTGAGCAAGTTCACGTGCGTTAATAAAAAGGCGATAACATCTCTAAAGTTGTCCAATTAAACAACAAATTAGCCTAATACACTTTTAATTCTTTATCACCATCCAGTTATATATTGTTATTCGTCTAAAATTGCTTTACAAGCACCTACACACAAAGTCTCCACCAAACTGAATCACTTTTTAGCACGAGCAACTGTTACGGTGTTAATGAACACTTCTTATTCACGTCAAGAAAGTTTTTCAGCTTGTTAAATCGCAAATTACACGTTGGCCCCGTTTCCGCTTCGAGCCGTTGACGGCAACTCTGATGTACGTTAGCATCCATGCTAAGCTCATGCGAACAGGCGTGTGTGCGGCTAACAGCTAACACTCGTTAAATAACCGGGAACTCACCCGCTGACTCCACCGTTTCCGTGGAGCTCTTCTGTTGGAAGGTCGGGATGAATTCCGCGGCGTGCACGTTGGGGACAAACGGCTTGGCGTCCACGTTTAGGCTGGTAATAAAAGCCTTGGAAAGTTGCTCGTCGACCTGGGCCTCGCCATCGTCCTCCTGATCCCAGGAATCAGGGGCAGTGTCTATCGCGTCCATCGCCACACAGCTGCTCCACACACACGCGCTTTAAAGCCACGGACTTGATCACTTTCGTGTCCGGCCTTAGCCGCTGTTAAGGTCACCCCGTGCGTCGTGAAAACTTTGTTAGCGGACTGTGGCCTTCCCCCCGTTTGGTTGAAATCAAACAGCCGGTGTCTCTCAGCGAGGGGCGACAGAAAAGGGAGGTTTGACTAAGAGCTCGGAATGAGTCCTCCTCGTGTGTGCTGACGACTCCCCTGACCTCGCGGAGCAACAGCGAACGGGATTCTGGGAAATGTAGTGGTTTTGCCTCTGAAAGAAAGCGAAAGGCGCCTGAGCGGTGTCGATAATAAACTAAATTTCCGCATTATGGATGAACTCGATCGTTTGCTGACCTCTTTTAAAACTACTAGCCTATTTCCGTTCACCGCAACTATAAAACATGTATAACTAAAAATGTTTTTCAAGTGTTTAAATTTGCTTTTAAAATGTATTTGAAGCTTAACTTTAAAGGCTTTTAATGATGTGATAAAGCACCAGTTTTCAACTGACTGCTTAAATTGTGTAAAAGTTCAGGACAGTTTTGAAAAAAAAAAAAAAAAACTCCAAGCTCTTATTTTTGTTTTAGTACCATTTTCTTTATTGTCATTTACATAACTGCTCATTGTAAAATAAAATTGTAATTATAAAAACCACTCTATTCTTTCTTTTGACACAACATTTCAAGTCAGCACTTATCTCCCCCAAAGAAAAAGAAAAAAACAATGATTTATTGCACCAGTTAAGACTAATCATTTTGAAAAGATGAGCAGATCTACAATTACATTATTCAGTAAGGAAGCACAGTTATGAAAAGAGCACCTTATGCTCCAAAAAACATGGATGGATGTGTTCTAGATGTAGTGAATTTACTTCTCATGAATAATTCACACAATATTCATATGCGAAATGAAACTACATTTCCCCAGTAGCAAAGCTTTTTTTTTTTGTATGTGCTAAAACAATTAACATTGGTGTAAACAACAAATAAAGATCTTCATTTCAGTACATTATATTTAGCCTTCATACACATCCAAAAATGTAACGATTACTCAAAAGAGACATCTCTGAAACATTCTTCACAGTAAGAACAGTATATGATAATCATTTCACTATTGGTAAAGCCAAAAGTGCTGGATGGATATCTGTTTGATTTAATAAACTTATTTTAGACATATAGCAAATGTTACTTATCTCTAAATAGCCTAATGTCCTCCAAGAGAATTATTTATAGAATAAATAAATATTCTGCTGTTCTGATTAAAGTGTGACATTCTGTACATAAAAGTGCAATAAGGCTATCGTTTGATTAGAAACAGATGCATGAGTCTTCAAGCATCAACCTTCTTTCTCACACGTCTGCCGGTGGAGAGTACATAAAGCAAGACCAGCTTTTGGCAAACAAGACATTGTGACATTAATGTACATGACGGTAAGGCCACAATAGCCCTTTCGTTGTGTAAATAATGTGTGGAAATGGATCAGAAAAACCTGTCAGACAGGCTTATAGATGACAAAGATAAGCGTCCAAAACGTAACGGCTGTGTCACCCACTATGGAAGGATATACTGGCAGTGCACATAAAGAACTGTGAGGAGACCCTGTAATATATGATTAACCAAACCTTAAAAATGTGCAACTGATTACGAGAAGAAAAAGGGACGTATATTCAAACATTATTTCCATGAAATTCCAGTGTTTTGTTATTTGCATTTAAAGCTGCTTCTTTCCTTAATTTCAAGAGTGGTTTGCTCAAGGCATCAAGGTCACGGACGCATATTCCTCCGTGAGACAAAGCCAACCTCTGGGACATCCCTTTAGGAGTGGTCTTATCTTAGGGCGTCTACACTCTCGGTCTCTTGTCCCTCTGGTACACGCTGGTCTGATGAAGCCGTTTCCACCACTATGTGGACATGATGCTCCTGAGGGACCTCTGCCTCCTCCGCATCACTGGCCTGCACGGGTGCCGTTTCCCTGAACGATTCTTCAAGCTGGCTGACAGAGCTGGTATCACTGACAGAGTCTGAGCCCGCTCCCTGCCGCCGGAAGAGTTTTTGGCCTGTGAATCACATGGTTTAATTAACCTGAGAGTTCTGTAAACATCAGTGTAAGACCAAATGTGATTTAATTATGTTGTGGACACAAAGTAATTAGGTGTAATTAGGGTCACACTGATCTTAGATCAAGATGTTACCGTTACCTGGAAACCGTTTGGTGACGGACTTGGGGGAATCGAGGGAAGCTTCTTTATTCATCTGGGCTTTTATAGAATAAACAGGCTCGGTGCTGTCCAGACAACCTATGGAGGTAAAATAGATGCTATAAAAACCTGAAAGCTACAATTAAACTGATATTTATTTGACATTTTTGTGCATTACAAACTTTAAAGCATCTATACCTTCAGCTAGGTTGAAAGTTTTTCCTTTGACTGAGGCCTGAAGTGGGGAGAACCAGTTAAGCACAGAGCCCACCAGAGGGATCTGTCGAAGTACACCCTGAAAAGTAAAATTTTTTAATGATTTCATCAGAAAATTATTACAATTATATAACCAGCATTGTTGAAATGGAAAATTAATTTCTGAATGTTTTAGTATTTGGTTTGTCTTGATCAGGATCCCACATGAGTCACATGCAAAATATTAAAAATATTAAAATATTTGACCTATAAATCAAGTGAAAGAAAAACTAACACTTGACGGGGTCATGAACTATGAAACCAAAATTCCCTTGATCTTTTGACATATAAGAGGTCATTGTACTATAAAAACATCCTGTAAGTTTCAGAACTCAAATCTTTCTCGTTAGTCTAAAAACAGCTTCGATTGAAGCCAATCTGCCAAAATGACCAAAAGTCATCATCAACGCCTGCTTCTACATCGCTGCCTGTTTAGCCCCGCCCACCGATTTGCACATGTAGTGTGAATAACGAGAGGCGAACGCAGGTCTACGCAGAAACCAAACGATAAAGATGCTCTGAAGACAACAAGACACTTTGCAGTGCCACGCTGTGGAAAAACAGTCATTGCATTGCCTTCCTTCTGATTCCAACATTAGGAAAGAGTGAATGAACTTTATTTTTAATGAAGATCCAGACCGCGTCAGTAAGAACTTGGTCCTTTGTTCACTTCATTTTACCACGGATCACAGCAGTGGGCGTTTACGTCCGAGTCTACAATCCACCACGGCTATTCAGACGGAGAGTTCTGATGAGGGGGGTTAAGAAAAAAATCTTGTAAAAATTTAAAAATCTTGATAACATAAGTGTACCTCAAAGTACAAAATAAAAAACAACGGCAGTTTATGACCCCTTTAAATATTTCTCGACCACTTTATGCCATAAAGTTTCTTTGGTTTATTTTACAGGTTTGAATGAGATCTTCTGACCTCAGACTTTTGGAGCCCGCTGTCCACCTAGACATATTCACTCACCTCCTCCATAAGTTTCTCTTCATTTGCTTTCTGAAGCTGCTGCTCAGCTTCCTGTATGCCTCTTCTCACAACCTCCGTCATGTTCTCAAACAACTAGCCGCAAACATACACAGATGCATTATATCTTCTTATGTTTCTGATTTTTATTTTCTGCTTCAATTATTAAACACCTGTCCAAAAGCAAAAGTCAGTGCAAACCTTTCCACTTTCCTCAATGTCTCTTCCAATAGATACTATAGTTTCCACCAACTCTGCCACATCCAGGTCTTCTGTTGCCATACCAATGAATATGCAGTTTTTCTCCTCACAAAACTCAGGACCTGCACACAAGACAGGGTCACTGAGTTCATGTGAATTACACCAATTCTACAACTGTCAATCATAAGGCCATCAGGAATTTACCATCAGAGAAGTACAGGTCAGTATCCAGCTCCATCAGCTTCTTAAGCAAGTCACTGTTGATCTTCTCCACACTGTGATGTCTCTTGTCTTCATCCAGGTCTGTGGTTCTGGCCTCATACCTTTTGAAAAACAAACAACAAACAAAAAGAACCTGTTTAACACTGTGGAAACTTACAACAATGCGAGTTTCCTTCTTCTCCGAGTGAGGAATAGAGGATATCAGGGTCACTGTATCCTTTTAGCTCAGCTGGCAGAATAGGTCACGTTTTCGATATCCAAAGAACACAAAACTGACTAAGTGTATACCTCAAATGCACTTTGGATAAAAGCATCCATCAAATGCATGAATGTAATGTCAAATTTGCTGTAAACTGATGCAGGTTTGACTCCAGAGTCTCACCTCACACCTCCAAGGCCAGGCCAGCTCTGGTCCTCAATGTACAAGAGTGAAGCTTGTTGTAGAACCTCATCCTTGAAGTCCTGTCTGAAGCGTAGGGTGCAACTCAGCACTGGGATCATCTCTCCCAGCTTCTCCACCAGTGCAGCCACGTCATTCTCCTGAGTGCCAAGAGCTACACACATATACAGCACTGTTAGCATAAACATGTTAACATGAATTGGGTCTCACCACTGCAATACAACTGACAAGTCATAAAATCAATGATACTTTTATATCTTTGCGCACTAAGGAATTAAGGACAAAGAATAGTCCACTCAAGCCCCTATTTTTGCGGAAATATGTTTCTCAATCCTCTCTCTCTATATATATTTATTTGGGAAAATTATTGATTTCTTCCTTGCATCTATTTAATATAGGCTTATTAAAATGTCTAGAGCTTGCACATAACCCAGGATTTTTTAAATTTGTAATTAGCTCCATCATGTATGCCTCCAGTTCTTAAGTCAGTATGGCTTGGGCCTGAACATTGTGTTAGCATTCCCGATTTTAATTGTCTCCCAAATGTCTTACCCGCAGCGGTCATGAGGGGGCTGAAGCGAACACATGTGCCCTCATCTTCCAGCTCAACCACATCCACACCACTTAGCGGAACCTGCTGCGCCAACTGCTCACCCAACTGTCAAATCAGATCAAAGCAGTCGGGTGACTCATTTGTAAGAAAATGATCTCGGCACTCTATTATAAACGCTCACAATTCAGTCTACTTATTTCTCATAATACATTGCGAGTAAGAGAAGCATTTACCCATCTGTTAAGGGCATCAAGGATATCTCTTTCCCCCTCAAGATAGCCTTCTACTGAGCCACCACTTGAGGCTGAAAATGAAAGTTTTGTGGATTTTAGTCAATATCTCTTAGTATATACATGCATAATATTTTTGTAGAAACCCTTTTTTTCAGAAATCTTTGATGAATAGAAGGTTAAAAAAAGAACAGCATTTATTCAAAATCTTTTGTAACATAAATGTCTTTACTGCCACATTAAAGCTGCAGCCCGTAAGTTTTGCCTCTTTGTCGCCATCTCTGTTTGAAACCTGCAATTGCAAGTATTTGCGGAGTTATTTTCTTAATGTGGGTCTTGCACCGGCATGGCTCCTCAGCACGGATGAATCTAATGTTTAATGTGTATGTGTAGGGTGACCAGACGTCCCGTTTTTCCCGGGACAGTCTCATATTTCAGCTCCATTTTTAGTGTCCCGACTTATTTTGAAAAAAATCATGTTTTGTCACGTATTTCTAATTTTTTTAGACTGGATGATCAGAGCGAGTAGTAGTAATGTTCTGTCACACGAGAACAGCCTATTTAAAGGTAGCCAAGCTCGTCTTACAACAAAATCACCATTGCAATCACAATTCGTTATCGATTAACGTGCAGTAAGTGAAGGTGGAACAGGCGGAATCACACTGAAGGACACACAACAGAAGCGCTCTCTCGGTCACACGCCCACATAATCCCTCTCAGATAGCGTGCGATCAGTTCTCCTTGCGCGTACCTCACATAAATACAGTCGGTTATGGCTTAAAGGGTTAGTTCACCCAAAAATGAAAATTAGTCCATAAATTGCTCACACTCAAGTCATCCTAGGTGTATATGACTTTCTTCTTTCAGACGAATCCAGTCGGAGTTATATTAAAAATTGTCTTTGATCTTCCAAGCTGTTTAATGGCAGTCAGCGGGTGTTGCAGTGCATCAGTCCCAAAGAAGTGAAATAAAAAGCACCCATCCATAAAAAAAAAGTGTCTCACACGGCTCCGGGGGGTGAACAAAGGCCTCCTGTAGCGAATCGATGCGTTTTTGTAAGAAAAATAACCATATTTAAAACGTAATAATCACTTTAATGTAGCTTGCGCCAACAATTCCGGTCGGATTGTGTCCGCCATTGTGTCGACTACGGAGCAGATGTAGACAAGAATGACTCCTAAGCGATTGAGGTGTTCTGTTGTTGGATGTAATAATGAACATAGCAGAAGTCATTTACTCCCGACATCTGAGCCGCTGAACTCGCAGTGGATTACGTTTGTTTTTGAAGGGAATGCGCCCCCGATCTAAATAAATGTCATATCAACTTGTGGAAAATGGGCATCCGATGACCCCTTTAAATAAACCTACTGTATTTGAAAAACAGGTTTATTTAATGTGTATCTCTATCGTATTTGTCTTATTTGCTGCTTTGTTATATATCGTGGTCATATTGCCCACTCCTTGCCCACCCGTCTCGTATCCCACCATGAGAAATCTGGTCACCCTATGTGTGTGTGGCAGTCAGTCACTGCACCAGTGTGGATACTGTACTTCGGAATCACAGATTCTAGCCTACGTCTTTTAATAAGAATTTTCACCAGATATTGTCATCTGAACGAGTAAGTAACAAGTCTGACACTTCTGTTCTGACCAACTGAGGAAAAAAGCATTACAATGAATTGCGCTACAAACGGTGATTAAATTTAACAATCACTTAGCTCATATCACATCAAACCATGCAAATTATTATTACTGTTATACTTTGTTCTCAAACTATTAATGTTAACAACATCAGCATTGCATGAATATATTTATGTGTGTATTAGCGTTACATGTAGATTTCAGTTTCTGTACAATCTCTAATTGTCATACCATTCGAATTTCATATAGAAAGTCTTTAAACCCAAAAAGCTAATTATTCCTACTTAGAACTGGTTCTCTTTAAAATACAAAACTTGTGTAATCCCAAACAGGCTATCTGTAATCAGATGCACATTTAAAACTGGAATACAATCTAATTTCAGTCACTTGTGTTTCATAAACAACCCTTTTTGGATTACAATTTGCCATCAAAATGTTAAGTTTAATTATTCCAGCTGCTCTGAGAAAAGGCTATAAATGATCCACCACCTGCAGCATCCTACTAGCTTCGTGATAGCCAACACAACTTCTTTATGTTTACAGACATGACAAAATGACACAGCGGCATGTTCGAATTTCCCATGAATTCCTACCAGTACCACTCAAATTAGAAAAAATTATTATAAACTTTCCATTGTGAATCTGGCGAAGGTAAGAAGATAGTTTTGAACACTGGCTTTTTATGTATTTATCCAAGATGTTCATGTCTTTCTTTCTTCAGTCGAAAAGAAATTAAGATTTTTGAGGAAAACATTCCAGGATTTTTCTCCATATAGTGGACTTCAATGGTGGCCAGCTGGTTGTGTGTCAATGCAGCTTCAAAGGGCTCTACACAATCTCAGACGAGTAATAAGGGTCTTATCTAGCTAAACGATCGGTCACTTTCTTAAAAAAAAAATGTTTAGATACATTTCAACCCCAAATTCTCTTCTTGCACTAGCTCTGCGATATGCTACTTGACGCATTACGTAATCATGTGTGAAACGTCACGTTGCAGTTAGCTCTTCGTCGGTGTACTCCGGTTCAAAAGTTAGGGTGGTTAGGGTTAGGGTTCTCCTCCAACTTCAAAATCGTCCGACATTACCTTTTTTTGTAAAGGGCGTTTGACTTTCTTTGCACGTTCGCTTTGTAAACACTGGGTTGGTGCTTCCACCTACATCACGTGTGACCTTTCCAACATGATTACGTAATGCGTGAGGTCGAGCTAGTGCAAGACGAGCATTTGTGGGTAAAAAGCATATAAACTTCCCTTTATTTTTTTTTTTTTAAATGACCAGTTTTTTCGCTAGATAAGACCATTATTCCTCAGCTGGGATCTTGTAGAGCCCCTTTGAAGCTGCACTGAAACGGCAATTTGGACATTCAACCCGTTGGCCACCACTGAAGTCCACAATATGGAGAAAAATCCTGGAATGTTTTCCTCAAAAAACGTAATTTCATTTCAACTGAAGAAAGAAAGACATGATCATCTTGGATGACAATGTAACCTTGCTAAATAAGTGTTTTCAAAAAAAAAATTACCCCAAAAGTTTGAATGGTTTACATACATACACACATACAACCAAGAAAAGGAAACTTACGAGTGCTGTTGTCTTGTGAAAACCTGAACACCACCACAGGAGAATTCAGTTCATCCTCCACCTACAAACATCAGAGAGACACAGAGGGTGGGGACGGGGTCTCAAAACACCTGTTACACATTTGTGACCCTGGACCACAAAACCAGTCTTAAGTCGCTTGGGTATATTTGTAGCAATAGCCAAAAAAACATTGTATGGGTCAAAATTATCGATTTTTCTTTTATGCCAAAAATTATTAGGATATTAAGTAAAGATCATGTTCCATGAAGATATTTTGTAAATTTCCTACCATAAATATATCAAAACTGAATTTTTGATTAGTAATATGCATTGCTAAGAACTTCATTTGGACAACTTTAAAGGCAATTTTCTCAGTATTTAGATTTTGTTTGCACCCTCAGAATCCAGATTTTCAAATAGTTATATCTCGACCAAATATTGTCCTATCCTAACAAACCATACATCAATGGAAAGCTTATTCATTCAGCTTTCATATGATGTGTAGATCTCAATTTCGAACAAATTGACCCATATGACTGGTTTTGTTGTCCAGGGTCAAATATGAGCATTCACTACAGGAGGCCTTAATTTCATGCTGTGAGCACTACCATGTTATTGTGAAATTGGCTTAATATTTAAATGTTGTGATGCAATGTCATGGAAAGGCTTTTTGTTTGCTAGCTAACTGGTTTGAAAGGTCAATCTGGACAATGTGGCACATGACCTAAAGTCATGCATTAGTGCTGCTGGAATGTCTATATGATGCTGGAACCTTTGTTATAACTAAGAAAAGCTTATGTTGTTAAATTACAGGACAAATGCCCATTATTATAATTATCAAACAATGCTTCCTTCATGACTAAAGGACATTTTCATGAACAAATGTCTAACCATTGACAAATTAAGGAAATGAAGCCTTATAAATATCACCAAGTGTCTCTACCTCTTTGAATATCTTAAAAACTTTAAATAAATGTTGTACTGTGGCTCCTGTTATAGCTATGTAGTTGTAACTATCATATAAATAACTTACACACAGGAACATCACCGCTTAATTTTGCTCCATCTCTCACAAGGGCCATTTTAATAAATTCTGCTCAATTCCCATGATGCTGCATCATTGCTCCAAAGCAAGGTCCAGCATTGATGCCCAACGAGTCATCAAGCTCTGTGAAGTGACATTTCTCAAATGTTTTTGCACATGCCTGTAGCATTGGCAGGCCTTTACACGAATAAAAGCCTTTAAACTGAGCACCAGCACTTATGGGTGGACATGGTGAGGGAGGGAACAGTGAAGAAACAGCGCGAGTGAAAGGGAGAAGGAGTGGAGTGGGATCAAGCAGGCAGAGGGTTGGTCCCACCTACAATAGAGAGTATAAGAGAGCCCAGCACGTCCCGCAGCGAGCCCCCGGAGATGGGAGGGACCCGGGAATGAGACACCACATCCTGAAACCAAGGCACCCACGCTCACTACCACACTATGTATACAGTATAAGAGCTGCACACATTGCTGACGGTCACAAAGCACACCGCCAACATACATATGACGAACACTCTGCTCTTTACCATGCGCAAAGCCTCGATCAGAGACACCTCACTGTCAAGGATATCCTAATGGTGGTGACACAGAACAGAGGTGTTTGCTAACTTTTAAGGTTTTAGCCTTAGTGTGATTAGGAGTGACAGGAAAAAGTGGGCCACTGACCGATACAAAAGAACAAAATTTCAAGAAGCTGCCAGATAAAGTGCAAAGAGTGGTGTCATTAAGCTACCAAATGTGTTATTATGTATTCATATTTTCAGCTGACATATTTTAACACGGTGATACTGTCTGGTTGTAAATGGCAGAAATGCCTGCCAGGTGCTGATGATGTCACAGAGATTTTAAAGGGATAGTTCACCAAAAAAGGTAAAGTTGGTCATTGTCATTATTTATCTGCCTTCAAGTCACTCCAAACCTTTCTTTTTTTCAGTGGAACACAATAGGTGATTTTTTTTTAAATATATTGTGGCTGTTCTTTCCCATGTAAAGCGAATGGGAACTGGGGCTGTCGAAATCAAAAATAAAACACAATAAAAAATAAAAAAACTTAGTAGTCAACTTGTGTTATTATTTTGTCTTCAAAGGCCATCGAGCAGTGATATTTTAGTATTATTTATATACAATTCTTTTATATATCAGTATTTTGAATTAGTTTTTATTTGTAGTCTTTTTTTAGTTTTAGTAATTGTGTCACATGCTTGTTTTTATTCGTTTTTTATATTTCTATTCAACTTTCATTTACATTTATTTCAGTTTTAGTAATGCTTGTATTTCAATTTAAGCATAATTTATTTCAGTTACTGCCGAGGCAACATTTCTCATTTTCAAGTTTTTAAGTTTTCTTCTAATATTTATATTTTATTTCAATTAATGAAAACAATTTTAATAGTCATTGCTTTAGTTAACACTCCTACCAAACATTTTTGTGGTGCCATTTGAGGGAAGCCGATACGTGAATAATGTCATATTTCAATCTGTTCCTCACACAAAACTATCGTACGGCTTGGAATATAGGTCCCAGATCACATGGACCACTTTTATGCTACTTTTAAGGAGCATCTCTTTCCAGTCCCCATTTATTTTCATTATATGCAGGTATGAAAAATGTGAAATTCCTCAAAACGTGTGTGTGTGTGTTCCATGGAAGAAAGAAAGTTATATGGGTTTGGAACAACATGGGATGAGTAAAGACATTTTTGGGTGAACTATCCATTTATTAAATGAAGGAAGCAACACCAACTCAGGACATAGGAAATATTGATATGCAGTAGCTTCAAAATCCTTTTGATTCACATTCTTTTTTTTTTGGTGATTATGATGCAACACTAAAAGACTCTGTACCAACATACAGCTAAATGGATGAAGACAAGTTCACCTACCGAGGTTTTTATTGAAGCCAGTGTCTTCAAATTCTCCAACAGCTGTTGACTCTACAGGGAAACAGATCAATTCCCAACAAGGTCAGAGTAATTCTTGTATTTAAAGTACAGTGCGTCGGATTATCTAAATGAAGTTGGCAGGGTACTCACTAGCTGCGAGGCATGCTTAATCCTCTGTAAAATCCCATCATGCCCAAGGTACTGAAGGGACAGCCAGAGAGGCAAAGCCCGAAGCTTCTCCACTGGTTGGCTAGAGGTCAGACCTGCTGCGAGAGACTGCCCCCAACCGGCAGGGAGGATAATTAGCATCAGGTTTTTGCACACAGTACAGTCATATCTTTGGACTGCATTTCCATATGATGATTGGTGTTTAAAATAACAGTCCAACTTACCAGGGCCGGATCCTCATGTCTGTAAAGGGTGACAGCAGGCACAGCCGGCAGGCCCAACCACGGGCCTGGAGTTAAAGTCATACTATCACACTTGGTGGCCGCCTTGATAGAGAGAGGAAGAAAATAATAGCACATGCTTTACGACAGGAAACAAATGCGGGCATATTTGTGCCAAAAAAAACCACAACATACCGTGACAGTAGAAGAGACCTGACCAAGAACAAGTGTTGCCAAATTCACCCTGAAAGTATGATGAAACTATGATGAATATTAACTATAAACATCAAATCAAGAGGTACTACAGAAACAGGACCAGCTAATACCAACCCCTCCACATGGAGCCACATATTGTACTGAACGCAGAGCTCTTTCAGACGACTGAATTTGTCTGTGTGACCCGCACCTGGCGTTCCTGAGAGATTAAATGAATTTTAATGATTGCATGCAAAACTGACAACCAACAAATGCTTGCAAAAACTATACTGCTTGAATAAATAAGGTCTAATAGCGAACTGACCAGCATTCGCTATCAACAGCAATGGAAGTTTCCCTGATTCACGATCGTCTCTGATGAGCTTGTCAAGCAATGCAACATCCTGTGAAAAGACAGGTTAGTGAAAAACACACCATTTCAACACATTTTCTATTAATTGTATTAATACTGTCTCATTACTTGCACTTTGAACAAAGAGTTTCAATTTCATTTGTCTACAATTTAATGTGTTACATGTGTTTGTCTGTAGTGTTTTGCATATGCACCAAGGCAAATTCCTTGTTTATTTTTTACTTGGTTTAATATAATGTGGGGGGGCAGTAAGATATTTTTAAAAAATAAAGTAATGTTTACATTAAGCAAGGACTCAAAACTTAAATTGATCAAAAGTGATAGTAAAGACATTTATAATGTTACAAATGATTTCTATTTCAAATAAATGCTGTTCTTTTGAACTTTCTACTCAAAGAATCCTGAAAAGTAGGCCTGTCGCAATAATCAATATATGGACTTATCGCGCAATATAGGTACATGACCTCAATAATTTTTGGTGACGCAATATATCGCCCATTATATTTACTTAAAAAATGATGTCACCATGTTTTGTACATTCCACTTGCTCCTGTGTCTTTTGCAGCTTCTCGTACATAACGTGGTGTAGTCATGAGGTGCTAGTTCAAATTTTAAAAATGCTTCTACAAAAAAAGTTTCATCTGCAGATATGGCCTTGTTTAGGGATCTGTGCCTTTGTGCATACTGACTGCCAGGTAGTGATTGTGTTTTTCAGCAATAGTGTGCACCCTTAATGTACAGAGAAAAGAAGGTCAGGGAAAAATCTGTAGATGGAAAAATCTCCATACAAGTTCTTAATGCATTTTTCTTTTTTTCTGCTTGTTATTTTGCAATTTCTGTTAGAAAATGTTTGTTTATTTATTTATTCAGGTTTTTTAAGGTATCTAATATTTTGATACTTAATTTCCATGATCTAAATATTCTTAAAAATTAAAAGTGTCGTCATCATTTGGAAGTGTGTAGGCCTTCTTGCATTATTATGCCGTTACATTA